GTTTGAGAGACAACATGTTTGCGAGAAGGAACAGCCATTACTGTAGCTAGAAAAATTGCGACAACTGTTCATTGTAGTAGCGCCATATAAGTAGACATTTACGCGAAAATAATCGATCGATTGGCATGTCTCAGTATACGTCTATAGAAACGATCGATTAGAAATTTTCAACAAATGAAAGACAAAACTTACCATACACGCTAAATATACGTTAATGTCCGGTAATGTCTGACTACACTTGTTACAATAATTACAACGAATAGCTCGGGTATTGTTCATCACTTAAATATGGAAAAATGAGAGTGTAATAATGATTATCGATATTATCTCTATACACTTACGAGTACTAATTATTAGAAGTATCATGTAAACATGTTGTTTTGTCATTGCTGATCTCGATATACTTACGTTCACACTTGTGATAAGAATTGGAAGAACTACGCACTGCAATTTTATATCAGTGAAAATTTCATAATTTCCAATGTAATTACGTCTGTTGAAGTTGGGATATTCCCAAATTACTGATGAGTAAAAAGAAAAAGCTTTCTCTCAAATAGATTTTTTCAAACTTTTTCTAGAAAGATTCTTCAGTCATCGAAAGCATTTGTTAATTTATAGGAACATTCTTTCGCATTCGAGTACGCGTTCAATCATTCATTAGGTAATTACATCGTTTTTTACTTCTCATCTTTCTAGTGAAGAATGTTCCGTCGAAAAGGGTGCGAAGAATAGAATGTCTTTCTCTCAATCNTAAAAAGAAAAAGCTTTCTCTCAAATAGATTTTTTCAAACTTTTTCTAGAAAGATTCTTCAGTCATCGAAAGCATTTGTTAATTTATAGGAACATTCTTTCGCATTCGAGTACGCGTTCAATCATTCATTAGGTAATTACATCGTTTTTTACTTCTCATCTTTCTAGTGAAGAATGTTCCGTCGAAAAGGGTGCGAAGAATAGAATGTCTTTCTCTCAATCAAAGAAAGGGATCTTTGGTACCAACTATTTTGTTCTTCTTCAAACTACTACCTGTTTCAAAATAAAAGACGAATGGGTATTTTTCGAATAACTTTCGACAGGAACAAGATGGAGAGCTGCGGTTTTCGCTGTTGGGAAGAAGAGATAAAGACGTATCGAAACATATATCTGAGAACATCTTTCTAACTGTTTTCATAAGACTTCTAGTGATATATTTTAAAAGAATTGCTTTTTCTCATACGTTAGAAAATACGATTTTTCATTAAAATAGCACTGAAACTTTCACTTTTTCCATTTTTACAGGAAAAATGACGTAGTAAAGTGTGTTTTCATGGCTGCACAATGTATTTATTAACAGGCTTGAATGAAATCTGCATGCAGTTTGTCAGCTCTTGATCTGGCGGTTCTACAGCACGCCCCGAAATCACGAAATAAATATGACACTGGTGTGAGCGATACTGTTTTGTCAAAGTTCTATATAACAGCCTTAGGGAGGTCGTTAGAAAGATGTTCTCAGATATATGTTTCAGTACGTCTTCAGCTCTCCATCTTGTTTCTGTCGAAAGTTATTCGAAAAATACCCATCCGCCTTTTATTTTGAAATGGGTAGTAGTTCAGAACTGGGCGCTGAACCGTTGTGGTTAGGGGTGGAGCTTTAACTTTGCTTTAAAAATCAAAGTTAAAGTTGAGATTCAATAACATCTTTTTTGACCGACATCATGTAACCCCTCACTAGGATTGTTGTGATTGCACTAAAAAGCTCATTTTTGCTGAAATGCTACAAAATCAGGATAAACTGAAATAAAATGGCAATATTCTTAGTTTCTCAATGAATAAGTCAAGATAGATTTTAAGGCATAATTGAGGAGTAAATACTGTCATATTTTGCGATTCATTAGAAAGTGATAATGAGATTTTCTGGGATGTAATTATGGCCACCTTCCACACATTTAGATATATTATAAAGATAATTGCTAATGTATCATCGATTAATTGCGATTTGTACTCAGAAAATCCTGATATAAGTTTCAAAAAGATCTCAAGTCATTCAGAAAGAATTGTGAGAGGTGTTCCTACGCCAATTTTCGGTCAGAAATTGACAGCACTCCATGGTGATGCCGCACTATACAGATATGGGCCGGGATGGTGTCGACAAAATCAAGTAGGGTGATGCATACGATACCCAAGCAGACAAAAACCAATAAGAAACGATTTTCACGCGCTGAAAATCTCACTTTCTACTGCGTTTTTAACATTAAAGAGCACGCATGATAACGTTTTCAAACGACATTTCTCAGAAATAAATAGCGGTTTTTGTTTTGACTTTTTTCAACAAACGCATCTTTGACGCGTCGAGAAGTATTTCTATAAATATGTAAGTACGTCGTTTCTTCTCTTTTCTGTCTGTATGACAAAACAACGGTTTTACGCGTTCACAGGTAAACCTTGTAACTCTTTAACGAAGCGTTTGTTGAAAAAAACCAACATATGAAAAACGCTGTTCTCGCCAGAAACGCGTTTTCCGTTTAAAAAGGCAGTGAAGACAGCGTGAATGAGTAAACAACCGAATGGCAGGTTCACCTCTTCCTTCAATGGAAAATGAAATGCTGATAAATAATCAGCTTAAGAGTATCTAGTAATACAAGGTTGGCTTTGACATGCGATAAAAACAGACTTGTTTTTTATGCGCGATGGCTAGCGTATATTTTATATTAGAGAGAATTTACGACAATTTCTAGAGACAGTTTTTCTAATAACGACGTAAAACCAGTACATCATCTTGTTTTGATTAGCGCTCATTTATTTCAAGACCAATTTCTAATAATTTTTAATTTTACGGTTCAGAAATCCATCGAAGACGCTCTCTAGATCGATTTATACCACGCTTTTTTTATTTGCGACCGTTCTTTTCATATAAAGGAACACTCTTGCTAACAAAGTTTTTATGAGGATTGACCTTAGGGTACTTTGGGTCGACAAAGACGAATCTGCGGTTAGTTTCTTAAAAGTCCTTAAGGTAGGGATGGGACTTAATATTTATTTTTCAAAAGTAACTACTTTTGCATGGGTTACAATAAGGGCTATCTCATACGCCTGCAACATTGCTATCGATCCGTTAGTAATAATATTTTACACTGTTTCTTTGATGTATGAATTACAGTAAACAAATGTTTTGCATATATATACCAAAAAATAGTTACTTTTGAAAGTAAAATAAATGTGCCACCTCTATCATTAGGATTCATTTTTCGATATATCAAGACGAAAAAAGCTTTTTTTAATAAGAGCCGATCGAAGGGAAATGAAGGTCGAAGAAAACAAATCTAGTACTAGTTTTTAAGTTTTACTAAATGAAACTCGACGAAAACTTGATCTGGAGGTATGGTTAGAGTAAATATAGTTCGTAACATTGTTAGGATGCTAGGTGCGACACACTAGATTGTCATACATAGTATAATCTCGAGTATGTCAAAAAACTGTTGAACCAATCACCAACTTGGCAATACCAAGTTCTGGAACTTTGTTTTGAATGTATTTTTCAGCATTCAATATTCTCAATAAGTTAAAGAAATAATGTTACGAGCTAAATTTGCTCTGATCATATCCCTTATGTAGTTTTCACAGGCTATCATTTGGTATAAAATTGTTGGGGATGCTATTTGCTTTTTTAGATCAAGAGGAGAACATAATGGTTTTTTTACACCTTGTGTAATTTATACAAAACTCAGAGCCAATCAGTGTCGAATTCATTAAACCTTCAACCGATATACTAAACCGCAAAGAATTTTGGGGAAATTTTGCCGAGCTTTTAGGGATTTGCGAACATACTATTCGTTTTACGTAAACCACACTGAACGTTTAGGACTTACATCAAACCACGTTTATTTTAGTTAAAATAATCTGAGCTGTTTGAAAAGTGATAAACCATCGATAATATGGTGCAAACTAACCTGACCTATCTGTTACCTTACGAAACTAAGAATAGGGTGGAGAAATACATCAAACCTGCTGACAGACTATGAAACCATTCATGCTTTTGTATCTAAGTAGACGAAATCAGTAAAAACACGCGCATCGACGTCGTGAAAGGTCCACATTTTCATTCGTAAAAACGCGTTAAAATATCGTGTAAGTTTGGTAAGAGAGAATCGATGTCGAATGTGAAAGTACCGGAACTCTTATATTTTCCTCGCAATAAAGTTCGTTTTGATAGCGTTACAGCACGCATTATAACGCGCTTCTACAAATGAAAATATGAGTTTTCTACGACGTAAATACGGCGTAAAATACCAATTTATGTACAGTGCGTGGACGAAAACGATCGGGAGCAAAAGAAAAGACCTGATTTACATTCGCAATCATTGTAGAAGGCATAAAAATGCGATAAAAAATAGCTGAAGCGCCAGTAAGCTATTTTGACGAACGTTTTTTTGACTTATTCATTGATAAATTCTAAATACTACCATTTCATCTGAGTGTACGCTGATTTTATAACATTTCAGAAAAAACGAGCGTTTTAGTGCAATCACAAAAATCCTATTGAGGGGCTACATCTATGTCGAACGGTCCGGTGTCCGGGTCCCGCGAGATCCTTGAGAAAAGCACCGAAATTCGTTTGGACGTGGAAACAGTACTGCGAACGGAAATTTTGAGGGTGTGGGGGTATGAGACTAGCTGCCATTATCTAGATTTCACTTCTGCTAAGAAGATCATCAGATGGCTTTATTGAAATAAGAATGATCAAAAACTGATCAAAATCAACTTTCAAACAATTACATTATTTTTTTCGGCGTAGTTGGTATTTGGATGCATGGGAGTATTGATTTTACTTTTAGATGCATGTTAGATTGATTGATTTGATATTTCATGATGCTTCTCGAGGGGTTATTGGTTTTTTTCCAAAGGGTATTGAGGAGTATTAGCGTGATTCGAATGTTTTCATATTATGTTGTAATTCATCTGATCAAATGAATATGTCGTTTTTCATCGACACTTGACAACCAAGATCTCAAAACAAGGCAATAATCATGATTAGTTCATGCCATATCAATATAAAATCAATCACCAAACACAAAGATGAACTCCAAGCTAGATTTTCCAAATACGACATCATTTCTGTAAACGAAACCAACCTAAAGAGCGAACGACAGTTCACTCTCTTGGGTTACAACACTTACAGAAACGATCGAGTAGGAAAACCTGGTGGGAGAGTATTACTAGCAGTTAAACAACACATCAAATGTCGAGAAGTATTTAACAAGACAGTAGGTAAAAATGAAGCGATAGCAGTAGAGATTGAAACTAAAACACTCAAATCAAGACTAATATCCTCCGTTTATATACCTCCAACAGCAAAACTTAATTTGAATCTATTCCACGAACTTTATGACATCAATAACAACTGTATTATAATGGGTGATCTTAATGCAACATTATACAATAAGGGATCCCAACAAGCTAACGCTCGAGGAAAACAGCTGCAAGAATTACTGGCAGAAGGCTTTATCGACTGCATCGAAGATGATAATTCAACTTTTGAAAAGAATGATTATGAAGTAAAACTTGATTGGATATTAGCTAGTCAACCACTTCTTTCATTTATATCAAACGTTGAAACGCATCCAACAATCGGTGCGATAAATGGTCACAAACCGTTAACCTTCGACATTCCTACTGGAGCCGAATCTAAATCGTTATCTCCACGAATATAACTAAATTTCAAGGCTGCAAAATGGTCAAGTTTTAGAAGCACTGTAGATCAACAGCTTATGCTATGGAATAACGATCGCCCTCTGGATTCAACATTAGACATAGAAGAGTACACAACTTTCATCACCAACAGTATAATAGAAGCCACACAAGAAGATATCCCACGAACTAAACAAACAGCAAGAGAATACATACCAAGTGAAGTATCGAAAAGCCTGATTAAACAGAAACATCAAGCATATCAAAGATGGAAGAAGACAGGAGCTGATATAGACAAACGTCAATATTACAACTCCAAAATCTTACTATCGAACTCACTAAGAAATGACAAGCGAAACAACTTCAGCAAGTTAATGTCTTCATTATGTCATAAAAAAATGTATTCAGATAAGGTTTGGCTAACAGTACGCAAGTTCCACAACAAACGAATCAAGCAAATGTATGCGAACGTCATGAACTACAACAACAAAACAGCGTCATCAGATAAGGAGAAAGCAGATTTATTTGCGGATTATTTCGAAAATGAAGTCTACTCTCAAACTGCTGATACACTGCCGTTTCATGATCAAGTAACAGACCAAGCAAGTAACATAAGAAATAGAAGGACAGCCTCGTTGAACACAGCCAAGTGGAAGCTAATAAAAGTAGAAGAAGTTAAATATCATATAAAACAACTTCGAAACAGCTCCACTGGTCCAGATAATATTCACAACAGGTGTCTGAAGAACTATTCAAAATTACTTATACAACACATCACGAAGCTGTATAATGCAATATTGAAGCTAGGCTATATTCCAGCAATGTGGAAAAAAGCCAATATTATTCTTCTATTAAAGCCGAAAAAAGATAAAAAACATCCGTCAAGCTATCGACCGATTAGTCTCCTTAGCTGCATAGGCAAACTACTGGAGAAAATAATCAAACAACGGCTCATGCTGCAGTTAAAACGTCGAAACATCTTACCACAACATCAAGCTGGCTTCAGACCAGGTAAAAGTACCATCTACAATATTATTCGTTTAGAAAGATATGCAGATGGACAACTAAAAAGACCTGGTCTAAGACGACACTCAGCAGTCATTTTATTCGATATAAAAGCGGCATTTGGCTCGGTATGGCACGATGGTTTGATTTACAAATTAAACGATCTACGTCTACCGAGGTACATAATTAGCTACCTGATTTCCTTCCTGAACGATAGGACAGCTGCTATCGAATTAGAAAATATCTTATCACGTCCATTTAACTTAAAGAGTGGTACACCACAAGGATCTCCGTTATCACCGTTACTATACATCATGTATACGGCAGATTCGATGAATGAAATACCAACTCATACTGAACATGGGTTATTCGCCGATGATACAGCCTTATGGACATCTGGTCATACACTAACTTCACTCAAATCCAGATTACAACAGTCCATAAATGAATTCGAAAGTTGGTGCAAATCATGGAAACTTAAACTGCAACCAACAAAAACAGAGCTGATTCATTTCAGTCTCCACCCAAGAAAGAAATACAAAAATCCGGTCATAGTCAAAGTGGAAAATACAACCATCAAACCACTTGATTCTACCCGATACTTGGGTGTCATTATTGACAAAAGATTAAAATGGCGAACACATCTTGATCATATTGAAGCAAAGATTGCTCCTCGGATCGGTCTCCTTCGATATCTATCGATAGCAGCACAAGAACCCAACAACAAAACGATGATAAATATTTACAAATCAATAGTACGCACAGTCATCATATATGGCTATCCTATTCTCCTTACGGCCGATCAAAAAATATGGGACCGTCTGCAAATCATGCAAAACAAAGCATTAAGAGCGGCATTCGGATTACCCATATACACATCGGTCAAATACATACACAACATCAGCAACATCTCGAAGATCAAGGGCTATGCCATAGGACTTCTTAAACGGGCAATTCGGAAGGCATCAACAGACAACGACAGCACGTTAAGAAACCGTCTGCAAGGTATCTTAGACAAAATATGAAGAAATCACCATTCTTATATATAATAGTAGCGTCGAGAAAAAGGACCACTCTTGTGTCAGTCGAATCTGTACGAAAAATGTTATATCGGATTAAAACATGAATAAGCAAAGCCAATGCTATATATGATATCTAATATGATATAGAAACAATGTATTTGCTGATTCAAGTCCATCTATTCGATTATTTATTTCATTCTCTTGCTTCAAGTTATATACAATATAGAATAGAATCAATATATTTGCTGGCTCTTCTATTCAGCTATTTCTTTTACTCGTTCTTATATTCAATATGATAACGAGTCAACATTTATAATGATATAGACATGGTAGATCGAAACGCAAACCAAGTCTAAATTCTCTTTCTTTTCTTTCTTTCCTTCGTGCACGTTGTAATACACGATATAAAATCAAAATCACAGATATGACGTCACAATATCTATCTCTCTACTGATCTCTCCTCTCTCTCTATCCTACGGACAAAAGACGTTAGTCATGTGTCCTCGCGTTACTTCTTTCCAGCTCTTATATAACAATACTACCTGTTTCCGTGGTTTTTCTTTTTAAAATTTTGTTACAGGTTACTTAATATTGAATATAATAAAGCTTTGTTACCAAAAACAAATCCTTGTACTCTATAAAAAAAAGTAAACCTATATTTACACTTCAATTGACATTGCATATCATTTATAAACACACGAATGAAAAATCAATACTGACATACGACTTTTATCATTTGTTGATTTTTTTGTTTTATATAAATTCCATTCGAAAGTTGGTTAATAAATACAAATAGGCAGATAAATATTTAATCAAGATAAAAAGTGATAAATTTCCTGTTTCATTTAAATTCCTTCTTTCATTTAATAATTCAGTAAAATGGTAAACAGTCATATACTTTAGTTTATTGACATGATCAGAAACGTCTTACGAGACAAGCCACCTTTATCTCGCGATTCTTGTTGTGTCCGTTTTTTTGGTCTTGAAAAATGCTCGTTTCTCTCGATCATCAGTACAATCCTACTGCCAAGTATTATTGCAGTTGCAACTATCATTCTGTCTGAACACCAATCAAATCTTGCGCAAAAGAATAGAGAAAAAGACATAGATCTGGCTCGTCAACAACGTGAACAAGATTTCGACCTAGCAAATCGAACTCGAGTACAAACACATGAGTTGGAAGAAAATCGTCGACGACAAGATCGTGAACTTGCTAATGAAATGCGTGTTCAAGATCTTTTAATTGCAAATAATATTCGTCAAGATGGTATTGTAAGCACATTCATTCGTGAAACCAGTGAACTACTCATTCGCCAAAATTTTTCTCTCGATTTTTATAATCGTATGATGGTTTTAAGGCCTAAAATCCTAACTGTTTTCCGCCAATTAGATGATCCAAAACGTAAGTATTTTGTAATTCAATTTTTGCATGAATCTCGTCTGATTGTTACGGGTAAAAATCCTTTGGATATGACAGGAGTTGATTTGACTGGAGTTGATTTTAGTAGTCCGTTCCGTCGTGATGATCGTCGCTCGCGAATGTGGCATATTTCACTTGTTGGCGCCATAATCGTTAACGCCTCCTTCGTCAGTCGGGATATACGTCACTGTAACTTTACTGAAACATTTGCTGATGGAGCTAATTTTACTGCATCAATATTATTCGACGTTCTTTTCTATCAAGCTTCGCTTCGCTCTGCTACTTTTTTTAATGCTGGTTTTTCAACAAGTGAGTTCATGGGTGCCGATTTAACAGGAGCAGATCTAAGAGGACTATATACAGGAATACCCGATTTTGATAGAGATCCATTTCCTTTTATTGGTGCTATTTTACCCGATGGAAGAAAACTTAAAGGACAAAATCTGATTGTAGCAGGAAATGCTGAAAAAGTCACAACTGGATTCGACTGTTTTAATTTCGAGAGGAAACCGTCTCTAGGAGATATTTTACCATTTTGGATTCGTGAAAATGATAAAGTGATTACAATGCCGTATGGAATGGATGAAGTGCGTAAAGGATGCTATTTCACTGCAAAACCTTCGCAGAACTTTTCACGAATCTATCAACTTATTGATATGAAACGCTACTCAAAGATCATACAATATGGAGAAGCCTATTTTAAATTTCAGGCTTACATACGAAGTCCACGTAACACTAGAAGTTGTGCCTTTTTTGAATATATGGACGAGAAACATCTCCGACTTGGTAATCTTTCGTTGAGTAAGTAGTCTCTACTTACAACTGGCACATTTTCATCGACTTTTTCTATAGGTAATGAAAATAAAAATGGCAGCACACAGACAGATGTAATACATATTCACCAATCGACACGTTATATGGAGGTTCAGTTAATTTTCGAACCGAACCATAACAATTCATTGACTCAAATCACGATGATGGATGATATTGAATTCAGATTAGTTAGTCTAAGAGGATAGCTCAATTACATTAAATCGGTTCTAGGTGTTTTATGAACAAATACACTATAACTGTATCTTGTTCGAACGATTGGTGCTGAGAATTAAGAGTATAGTCTAAATCTTAGCAAATCGAAAAATAAAAGACCATATATTCTCGAAGAAAAAAACAAGGTCTAAATTATATATTCATTCATAGAAATTTAATGATGTAAACAAATAAATAACGCTCGTCAGTGGTGACTCGCATTACCCTCGACTGAAAATATCACAATATATTATTATCAATTTGATATTTGTTTTTCTTTGTTTCAGTTAAGAAAAATACTTTCTAATATAAACTGTATTTATTTATTTCTATATGAAGTAAAGACACACTAATGATATAATGNGCTGGACAGAATGTTGAACAAAATTCGAAAATACATTTTTGAGTCTTCAACAGTAAAATTTAGCTAGCTCTTCACTGGTTCGACCAAATGCGCTAAAAATTTGGATTTAAGAGTTTCTAATGATGCTGTACAGAATGAGATTGTCAAATCGCAAAACAAAATTTTGACGAGTGCCTCGATATATAGAAGGAAACTCGATGGACTCATGGACCCTCTCTTAAGAGTATAGTCTAAATCTTAGCAAATCGAAAAATAAAAGACCATATATTCTCGAAGAAAAAAACAAGGTCTAAATTATATATTCATTCATAGAAATTTAATGATGTAAACAAATAAAATCTGCAATAGAAATTCTAATTTCGTCATAGAATTTAATCCAATGATTTACTAACAAGATTATGATCATTTGAACGATTGTCAATTGATGAAAATGATATTTAAAGCGCTAGGACAGAATATCGCAAGGACAAAACGTCATACCTCTTTTTAGGGTTTCAAATGAAGTCCTGATGAAGTTTTGATATTAGAAAGAGTATGTACGTGGGATTTGGATACTACACGTACCCTCATCAACACTTTCGCCCTCACCCTTACCGAGTATTGCACATGCGACGTTTTGTTCATTCGACATCCTATCCAGTCATCATTGAACGTTATTGATGAGTACACGTGTCATTGAAACCATTTACGAGTTTTGAGTATAGGTTTTAATAATACTTAGGGGTATCCAAAAGTAGTGAGGGAGGGTTTTTTTTCCTTTAGGAAACACATGAAAACACTTCTTTTTTTTACCAATCGATAGAGCGTGTTTCGCTCTATTTTTCTGTGTAAATCGTTTATTCCCTAACTCTTTAGAAGTTACTCAATTTTCGAGAAAAAGCATTTTTTCTTGCTGCTTGCTGGTAGCAATAGTCGATACTTTTGTCCATATGCATTTTTTGCCGTTTTTCATGTGTTTTTTCTCATTCTTTCATCACGTTCTCTTCTTCTTCTTATTGCGTCTCATTAGTCTCTCTCATAAACTCTAAAAACAATTGGTGTTTTACTGAATCTAAAAGGTTTTTTCTTTTTCCACGGAACGATTTTAAGTTCAGCGGAATAAAAAACGTTTCGTGGTTGATTTGAGGAACTTTTTAAAGTTCAGTAGAATCCAAAAGGTTCGGTAGTTGTCAAGAAAACCATCTGAAGATTTTGTATTTGTTGTGCGAAACCATGAAAAGTTTCGTAATCTGGTAACGAAACCATTGATAGTTTCGTG